GTAGTCGTAGTAGTAGTCTTCGTAGAAGTAGTAGTGGAAATAGTAGTAGTAGTAGTAGTAGTAGTAGTAGTAGTAGTAATAGTCGTAGTAGTCGTAGTAGTCGTAGTAGTCGTAGTAGTCGTAGTAGTAGTAGTAGTAGTAGTAGTAGTAGTAGTCGTCGTCGTAGTAGTAGTAGTAGTAGTAGTATTAGTAGTAGTAGTAGTAGTAGTAATAAGGTCACCCGTCGTCTATGGCCGGCCTGTTTATGGCCGGTAATTTGGTTGGGTTTCCATACAGGCGTACGAAAACCTGATATAAACTACGCGTCCTTCACACTTGGCTTACGGGCGGCACGCTGTGAAGGATCCTAAGAAATTCTCGAGGAATCCGGAGGAATTCTCCAGGAAATCTAAGGAATTCCCCAGGAATCGTCAGGAATTCTCCAGGAATCCGAAGGAATTCCTGAGGAATCCCGAGGAATTCACCAAGAATCCCAAGGAATCCCTGAGGAGTCCTGAGGGATTCTCCAGGAATCCCAAGGAAATCTTCGGAAGCCCCCAGGAATCTGAAGGAATCCCGACGAATCTTAAGGAATCCTTGAGATGCCATAGGAATTCTCCAAGAATCCCAAGGAATGTGTAAGGACTCCTTGGAATTCTCAAAGAATCCGAAGGAAGTATTCAGGAATCCGAAAGAAGTCTCCAGGAATCCTGAGGAAGACTCAAGGAATCCGAAGGAAATCTCAAGGAATCTTTGGTTTCCAATGGGAGACTGATAAAAACCATTTGTTTCCAATAGAGAACTAATATAAACCAGTGGTTCCCAATAGAAAACTAATCAAAAACATTGGTTTCCAATAGAAAACTAATAAAAACAATTGGTTCCCAATAGAGAATTAATTAAAACAATTGATTTCGAATAGAAAACAATTTTAAAAAAACACTGGTTTCCAATAGAAAACTAATAGAAACAATTGGTTTCCAATAGAGAACTAATTCAAACAATTGGTTTCGAATAGAAAACTAATTAAGACCATTGCCCCCCAATAGAAAACTAATTAAAAAAACATTGGCTCCCAATAGAAAATTAATTAAAACAATTGGTTCCCGACAGAAAACTAATTAAAAACCACTGGTTCCCAATAGAAAACTGATGAAAACCATTGGTTCCCAATAGAAAACTAATTCAAACCATTGGTTCCCAATCGAAAACTAATTAAAACCATAGGTGTTCAATAGAAAGCCAAGCCAAACCATTGGTTTTCAATAGAAAACTAGTTCAAACAATTGGTTTCAGATAGAAAACAAAGAAACCCAAACCCAAACCCAAACCCACACCCAAACCCAAACCTCACCGGCCATAAGTCAGGTGTGACCCTAGTAGTAGTAGTAGTAGTAGTAGTAGTAGTAGTAGTAGTAGTAGTAGTAGTAGTAGTAGTAGTAGTAGTAGTAGTAGTAGTAGTAGTAGTAGTAGTAGTAGTAGTAGTAGTAGTAGTAGTAGTAGTAGTAGTAGTAGTAGTAGTAGTAGTAGTAGTAGTAGTAGTAGTAGTAGTAGTAGTAGTAGTAGTAGTAGTAGTAGTAGTAGTAGTAGTAGTAGTAGTAGTAGTAGTAGTAGTACTAGTAGTACTAGTAGTAGCAGTAGCAGTAGCAGTAGTAGTAGTAATAGTAGTAGTAGTAGTAGTAGTAGTAGTAGTAGTAGTAGCAGAAATAATAGTAGTGGCAGGAATAGTACTGGTGCGTGTCCACCGACAGCCCGCACGTCCTCTCCGGCGGCACGCCCGTGAAGGTCTACACGATCTGAGCGGCTCTGCCCTCGCCTCCACTCCGCTCCTCCCTTTTCCCACCGTGCTTGAATAAGCTTTCGGCGCGCCTCGCCTGTAGCCCGACCAGCGCCTGACCGCTTTCGAACCTGTGCGCCCGCTGATTCAACAAAAAGTCTGCGCCGACGCGTGCGTGTCCACCGAAGCCCAGTGGTACGACGCAGGCGGCACAGTAAAGGCCGACACGAGCTGCGCGCTGTCGGCGGGGCGGAAGGAGGCAAGCACGCACTGGGTTAACTCACGTTCCAAGGATCAAGAGCCCAAATCTCCGACGTCGTGCGTGTTTCACAGCGTGGGTCCACACAATGTGGATCCCCAAATGTGTGGACCCCTTCCCTTGAGCCGTTCCTTTATACCGAGTTGGCGTCTGAAAGTCCCGGGGCCCTATGGGGGCCCCTGGAAGCCAAAAAGTGACAAACACTTCCCGTCGTGAGAGAAGAAATCGCCCTCCCCCCCAAATTATCATGGCGAAGTGGTGCCGGCTTCCGCACCCTGGAACGCGCCATCGCTCGGACGTCCATTCCCCATGCATGTTTCGGTTTCGTGCGTTCATTTTCACACGATGATCCAAGATGCTCCTCGATGGCCCTCGCCGAGAAAATGAACCCGGCGCGACCCTAATTGGGGGAAAGCTTCCTATTGCATGGGCGCCAAAATTGGTATTGCTTGGCATTGCTTGGCACTGCTTGGCATCGCACCGGGGGCGGGGAACCTCGGGAACCCGGGGAACCTGGGGAACCTGGGGAACCTGGGGAACCCAAGGAACCTCCGGGCAATGGTAACGTGACACACCAGGGGCGGGGAACCCAGAACCTCCGAGCAACGGGCAGAGTAACAATAGCAGGCACCAACCTTTCACCAAGTAAGAACTCCTTCGGCAAGCCCCTTGGAGTCGGGAGCGGCCAAGAGGGGGGTGTCCAAGAGGGGGGGGGTGCAAATCATGACCGGCGGCATGTGCGCGGCCCAGCGGGGGGGCCAGAGACGTAATGAAATAAGAAGAGGCGCCATGAAATCAGAGGAAAAATCATAGCCCCCGCCATGATATCCCCCCCCCCAGTCATCACCCCCCTCTTTTCCGCCCCCGATGGAGGAAAAGGCGCACGCCCGAGCGATGCCAAGCGGAAGCGTGGCGCTCCGGCGCCGGGGGGCCCAGCCAGCGCGGGCGGGGGCTCGCTCGGGGATCTCCTGACCCGGGTCAATCCAGACCCGGGTCAGTCAGGCCTGCAGGATCCTACAGGATCCTGCAAGGATCCTGCACCCAAAGCCGGGCCAATGCGAATGATCCTGCAGGATCCTGCACCCAAACCAGGGTCAATGCGACCCTGGCCCTGCAGGATCCTGCAAGATCGGGCGCTCTGGCTGACCCCCGTTTGCATTGACCCCCGTCTCGAGGCTCCCGGCTCGTGCAGGCGCGCCCCGCTCCGGTGCCGAGCGGGCGTCGGAGGTCGCACGCGCGCCGCGGCGGCACGCGCCTCGGCGGCCCTGAGGGCGCAGGCCTCTCGCGCCCTTCGCCCGCGCGTCGGGCGCTCGGAATAGAAGACGAAGCCAGGACGAGGATAAAGTCGGGTGAGGATCAGCCAGGAATCTCTGAGATCCCGCGGCTCTGGAGCATGTCTCTCGGGTCGGGCGAAAGGGGGGGATAGCAAAGGGGGGGTTTGAGAATCAGCTCACGTAGCTGGTTTCCCCGGCGCCTCCCGGCGCCGGAGGCGGCTATGTATCGAGGAATGGGCCCCTCGGTGAGGCCGAAACCAGCTGCATGCAGCAAATAAAAATCCCCCCCTTTCGCCCGGCCCGAGTCCGGGCGCCGCGGCCTTCTCAGAGCGTTCGGGAACGTTCGGGAACGCTGTGAGAGCGTTCCAGAACGCTCTAGAACGGATTAATCCTCGTCCTAGCCCCGTCCGAAAAAGTAGTCGGACCTAGGCCAGAAGAACATCCTTCAAGAAGACGAGACCTCCCGTCGGCCACAACAGACATAACATCCAAGAGTGCCCCCCTCCTGGATGCACGAGAGCATCCAACAAGCACGAAGAACATTGGGGTATCCTCCCCGAACCGACCTCGATCTTATATCGCGGTCCGACCACACGGAAAACATGTGTACGATGCCCAACAACAAATGTTGTCCCGAACCGACTGCGGCCGCTGTTGGGCAGGCGGCCTGCGGCGAGCGAGTCCTCCCCGAAACGAACAGAAACTGCTGCTGGGCTCCATGCCAACTCTTCCCGTACCCATTTCGATTGTGCCGACTCGTGCGCTCTCGCCCGCCCGCCCCTCACCTCGGAGCTCCCAGCGGGCCCACGTCGCAGGGCTGCGGAGAGCGGCGGTGGCGCACCTGGCGCTGCGAGGCCGTCCTGTGGTATCCTCAGAAGGTCCCCAGAGGCGTCTGGAGGTCCCGGCGGGGCGCTGCCAAATGCGTCCTTGGTCCTCCTCCTTGCCCTCCTCCCTGTCCCTCCTCCTCCCTGTCCTCCTCCCTGTCCTCCTCCCTGTCCTCCTCCCTGTCCTTCTTGTCCTCCTCCTCCTCCTCCTCCTCCGTGTCCTCATCCTCCTCGCCCCCAGGACTGTGTCGGGTGCTGTCCTCAGGACTCCCTGGGAGTCCCGTGGCGGTCTTCAGATCACCTCCCATGAGGCAGGGGTGGCCCCAGGGGGTCGGCTAGGGACAGGAGAATGATGATGAGGAGGAGGACGAGGAGGAGGACGACGACGAGGGGGGGAGGAGGAGGGAGGGAGGTGGGGAAGGAGGACGGAGGACGGAGGAGGCGGGCAAACTGCGAGGCACAATGTTTGACGCCCCACGACGCGGCCGAGGCGCCAAAACCTCAGGCAGGAGCCAGGGAGGCATCTCAGACCGAAGGTCCCGCCGCTCGCGGTCCAGCATCACTTGAACCGGCGCGCCCAGGGGGCGAAGGGCGTCGGGGGCGGATGTCGAAGGTAGGAGGGCGGGCCTCTTGGAGGCCCGGGCGCCCCTCTGAGAGGCCTCCTCAAAGCCTCGGGGGCTTCTCAGAACACGGGCGGGCTTCCACCAAGATCCCCTGCCTTCTCATCAGGCGGCCCCCGTCGCCTTCCTCCCTCGTCGCGCCGCCGAAACACGGCACGTATGTCCGGCACGCTCCTGGTTACGTCTATAGCCTCTAGCCTATTGGTGTCTGGCAGACTGCGCCAAGGGACAGCGCCGTGACGCGGCCACAGGGGCAGCGCCGTCGCCTCAGCTGTCCTTGCTCTTCTCACCCGCCTGGACCTCGCCGCAGTCGACAACGACGACCTTCTTGGAGGTGCTGCCGCTTCCGGAGCCTACCCTCTCCATCTGCCTGATGGTCTCCATGCCAGAGGTTACCTTCCCGAACACCACGTGCTTGTTGTTCAGGTGAGAGGCGCTGTTCAACAAAATTCGCCAGCCCGTTGGGTCGCATGCGTGGTAGACCCCTCGGGCAGATACCTCAGCTAAAGAGGAGTAGTTGCTTGTATCTAGTCCGCGCGCGCGAGGGCGGCGCTGGGGAGTCTGCGGACATAATTGGGGCCGAATGCCTCCCACGATCGTGTGAAGGCCCCCCCAAGAGCTCCCCGAGAGCGCGGACCAAAGCGTGTCAGGCTGCATGCTGGCCCCAAGATGGTGCAAAGATGACCCCAAATATTACCCAAGACAACCCAATGAACTGCAAAGACAGCCCAAGCTGGCCCAAGAACCTCTCCTCGGAGACTCCCAAGATGACCATCATCTCAACAAGAAAACAATCGTTTCACTTAGTTCGATCTTTCTGCATGTGCGTGCTTCAATGGGCTTCTCGGCACCCGAGACGGCCCCGAGATGGTTCCAAAACAGCCCCGAGAGGGCCCCACAACTCCTCCAAATGGACTCGCGATTGCCCCAAGCGACCCCAAAGAGGGCCCCAGAGCGGCCCAACAGTGTGGGCCACTAGGAGACAGGCTCTAAGATGGCCCATCGGGCTGACCCCAAGTGGACTCATGCTGACTCCAACGTGGTCCAAGATAGTCCAAGAGGACGTTGACGAACCCTATAATCATCCAGGAAAAATCTCTGAGAGGTCCCTGATAGCCCCAAGATGCTGACCTCCAGAGACCCTTCGGAAGTCCCGAAGACCTGGCAAAATCATAGAACAAGCATGCTTTTCTGTACGTTTGGCCTTCCTGCCACTGCACTCTCCAATGGGCTTCGCGGTCCCCGAAGTGCCCTCAAGAGAGCTCTCAACACGCTAAGAGGGCCCCAATACTCACCAAGGGGGCCGCAAGAGAGCTCCAAGGGAGCCCTGAGAGGGATCAGAAGTGAGCAAAGAGCGGGGTAAAGCGCCCAGAAGCCCCCCCCCCAAGAGCGCGGATCAAAGCGTGTCAGACCCAATGCTGGCCCCATTGCCCCTGGGTGACTCCAAAATGCTGTGCACATTGCCTCAGGGTGGCACAGGACGGTCCAAGCTAGCCCCACGGTGGCCCAAGGCAGTCCCCAAGAGCCCCCCCCCCCACACGAAAGGCCGAACATATGACGGCTCCAATACCGCCCAATTTAGCTCCAAGTTGAGCCCCAGAAGAACCCCAAGTGCCCCGAAGACCTCCAAGAGCGCCCCAATATGGCCCAAGAGGGGACCGAGAGCGGGGACAAGTTGCGGCATGCACCAAGAGGGCCCCCAAACAACCCCATGAGGCCCCAATGCCCAAGACAGTACACGGATTTTCCAAGATGGTCCAAGGAAGCCCCCACGAGGCCACCAACAGGCCCAAGTGATGGTCCGAACAAACCAACCCGAAGAGGCAAAAGGTAATCCCAAGGTGGCCACAGATGGTCCAAGACTAAGAAGATTCCAAAGAGGCCCCTCTGATGCCCAAAGGAGCCCCCGAGAAGCCCGCATAAACCGCCCACTGCCTCCTAAGAATCCCGCAGATGCTCCGATATCATCCGAAGTGGCTCAGCATTGCATAACTGCTTTCTCGCGCTATGGGGCTTCGATTGTGAAACTTGGGGGGTGAAGTTTGCGTTCAGTCTACCCAGCGACTGTTTCTCACCCATGCGAGCTCCTCAACACAGTCTGGAGAAACCACGGCGGCCCAACAAATCCCAAATCGAAATGGGCATACAGCCAGAAGGCAACGGTGGTTCAATATGGGCCGGCGGACTGCGTGGAGCGGTTGCATAAAAAATTGGGAGCCGTTTGTGTTGGGACCAGCGTTTGCCATTGACAGCAAGCCGGCCTCGCTGTGACCGATGTATCCGCTGGCCCATTCGTCGTCAAACTTAGCGCCATAAATCGACTCTCCGCCAGTTCCGTTGCCGCGGGTGAAATCTCCGCCCTGGCACATGAAGCCTGGGATGATCCTGTGGAAGACGCTGCCCTTGAAGGTCAGATCCTTGCCGCTCTGTCCCTTGCCCTTCTCCCCTGTGCAGAGCGCGCGGAAATTCTCGGCGGTCTTCGGGTAGTGCTTCGCGAAGAGCACGAACTCCACGTGCCCCGGCTCCGCGTCGCCGATCTGGACGTCCATGAAAACCCTCGCGTTGCCCTCGGCCTCCAAGGCGTCCGCGAGCGAGAGCGACCCCGACGCGCCGCCGCCTCCCTGAAGCATGGTGAAGAGCGCGTACACGCCGAGGCCGCCGAGGATCACCACCAACGGGTTCTCCTGGGCGGCCCCGAGGGCCTTCGCCAGCAGGCCGTCGGGCTCTGGGCGGATCTCCAGGAGCTCGAGCTCGAAGACCAGCACGGCCCCCCCTGGTATCTTGCCCCCCGCGCCGCGGTCGCCGTAGGCCAGCTCGCTGGGCAGGTAGAGCTTCCACTTGTCGCCAGGGCGCATCAGCTGGAGGGCCTCGGTCCAGCCCCGGACCACCTGGGTCGGCTTGAAAGTGGCGGGAGCGGCACGCTTGTAGGAGCTGTCGAACTCCTCGCCGCTGAGGAGCGTCCCGCGGTAGTGCACGACGCAGCTCGAGCTGGCGTTCGGGTGCGGCCCCTCGGGGGGGCCAGGCTTCAGCACTTCGTACTGCAAGCCAGATGCCGTCGTCACCACCTCACCTCGCTGCCCGTTCTCTTCGAGAAACTTGAGCCCCTCTGGGCCGGTGCCGCAGGAGACCAGTCTGAGGGCGAGCAGGAACGCCAAGCCCAGGCATCGAGTACCCTTGAAGGCCATGCTGCGAAGACGAAGGGCTTTAGCCTTACTGCCCTGAGCCAGAACGGCTACGGAGCCCCCCCTGCACACACATTGACACAATGAGAGAACCCAGAAGGGCCTGATCTTTCACACAATTAACAATGCTTGCAAGCATCTATTTCTGACCAAATAGGCCGCCACCGAGCCGGGCCTGGTGGGCGTGGAAGCATTGCCAAGGCGTGTCTGGTAGTGTCTCTGCACTATAATGAGGGACCCCATTCCCGCGTTCACTGTATGCATCGCCCCCCTCTCCCGATGCCACGGTCCCTCGTACAAAAAACATGGATCCGCGCTCCCGAGGTCATGATCCTTTGTTTAAAACGATGGATCCGCGTTCCGAGCTTCCATGACGGCCCATGTAAGCAACCAAGATCACCAAGATTGCCCAAAATGCCTCGAAGACGGCCCAAGATGGGCCCAGGAGGGCCAATATGGCCTCAAAACGGCCCAAGATACCTCCAAGATGGCCACGAGAGGACCTCCAACAGGGTCTGAAGAAGCCAACGTCATTGATTTCCGTTGGGTTTATACCTGAGTTTCGCGTTCTCGTTTTTTGGGGGCTTCCGTCAGCTCATGACGGCTCAAGAAGCCACCACGATGGCCCCAAGACGGCCCAGGAGGCCCGAAAGAGGGTCCCAAAATGGACCAAGAGGTCTCAGGATGGCCCATGAGGCATCCAAAATGGCCCCAAGACGGCCCCTCAGAAACTCCCCTGGGACTCACCCCAATACGGCCTTAGAAGGCCTTTCGACGGCCCCCAGGCACTCACCATGCGGCCAACAGGGCCTCAACACGGCCCAAGAGAGCCTCACGACGGCGCAAGAGGGCCCCAGGGCGGCCCAACAGGGTCCCAGGGGACCCCCAAGACTGCCCCAAATGAGGCCAAGATAGACCCAAGAAAGCCCAAACGAGTTCCATGAGAGCTCCTCAATTAGTGAAGACATGTGACGGTCTTCCTTTTCCTCCTCCTCCTTTCACCTCCTGCTGCTGCTGCTGCTGCTGCTCCTCCTCTTCCGTGTTGTCATCATCACCATCAGCATCAGCATCAGCATCAGCATCAGCATCAGCGTCAGCATCAGCATCAGCATCAGCATCAGCATCAGCAGCATCATCATCATCATCATCATCATCATCATCATCAGCATCATCATCACCATCACCATCATCATCATCATCATCATCATCATCATGAACATCATCAAAATCGTCGCCATCATCATCATCGTCGTCATCATCATCATCAGTATTGCTATCATCATCAGCATACTCATCATCATCGTCGTCGTCATCATCATGATCATCATCATCACCATCATCAACATCATCATCAGCAGCAACATCATCACCAACACCACCGTCATTTATATCATCATCATCATCATCATCATCATCATCATCATCATCGTCATCATCATCATCATCATCATCATCATCATCATGTATGTTGCTCCCATCGCATTAAGGACCACATCCCAGAAATAAATTCGAGCACCCAGAAAAAATCGACACGGTGTCGAACGAATATCGCCTCCCAAGGGCTCGACACGAAAAAAACCAGCAAATTTTGGTATTTTCGTGGTGCTCGAAACTCTTTCTGGTGGTCACGGCTAAAGCAGGTTGGAACATCCTAAATCATCATCTTCATCAACATCATCATGATCATCATCGTCATCGGCATCAACATACTCATCATCATCACCACCATCACCATCATCACCACCGTCACCATCACCGTCTCCGTCACCGACACCACCATCACCGTCAACACTCACTCCATAAGCATCAACACCGTCATCATCATTGTCATCGTCAACATCATCCTCAGTTTCATCCTTACCATCATGATCACCATCAGAAATCATCATCATCGAGAAACTGACCGCCATCACCATCACAATCACCATTATCAGTATCCTCAACATCATCACCACCACAATTTTCACCATCATCATCACCATCAATAAGATCACCACAAACAACATCATCACCAGCAACATCATCATCAACATCATCATCATCACCATCGTCGTCATCACAAGCATCATCCTTATCAGCATCATCGTCATCATCATCATCATCGTCGCCACCACCATCATCATCAACATAATATTATTCTTCATCAGTGTCATCATCATTACTTTCACCATCATCACCATCATCATCATCAACAACAACATCAACACCATCACTACTTCAACCATCATCATACGCATCATAATCATCATCATCATCATCATCATCATCATCATCATCATCATCATCATCATCATCATCATCATCATCATCATCATCATCATCATCATCATCATCATCATCATCATCATCATCATCATCATCATCGTTATCATCATTATCCGCCGACCCCTTGGGGTCACGGAGTGTGAGATGCTTCCCCCTCCCCAGACCCCTCCCCCGGGGGCTTGGTCCGGCCAGTTTGGAGAAGGGGGGGGTGGGGGGGCAAATCCATCATCCGCGCACTTGGAGCCTCAGGAGGCCCCAAAACGGGCCAAAAAGGTCCCAAAGGTTCCCGCAACGGTCCAAGAGAGCTACGAATCGACGAGAGATCGCCCCAAAACGCTGAAGATTGCCTCCACACGGCTCCATAAGTCCCCAAGACGTTTGAAACAATACTACGAGGCGCCCCAAAGAGGCCCTCCAGAAGCAAAAATCGTCTCATTGTCCAGGAGAAACGTACATTTTCACCACTTTCGCCCATTCGGCTTCCACGCGGCGCAGAACGGCGCAAGAAGCCTCCAAGATCGACCCTCGCCAGCCCAAGAGGCTCCCAAAAAGGCTCCAAGACGGTCCCAAGAAAGCTCCAAAACGGGGCAAGAGGGCCCCCATAGGCTGTCCGGACGGCCCACGCGGAGGACGATTCGGTCCGAACTGCCCAAGATCGCCGCCAGACGGCCCCATGGACGCTTGAAATCGCGACCACGAGGCGCTCCAAGAAGGCCTCCAAAAGCCAAAACCGTCCCATTCCTAAGGTAAAACGTACATTTTCAGCACATTCGCTTCTTGGGCTTTCACGAGGCCCACAACGGCCCAATAAACCTCCAAGATCGACCCCTGTCACCCGAAGAGGCTCCCAAGAAGGCTCAAAAACGGCTTCCGGGCGATACGCGAAGGCTCCAGAAACCATAGCAACGGCCCAGGAGAGCCGCAGGACGGTCCCAAGAGGGCTCCAAAACGGGCCAGGAGGGCCCCCATAGGCTGTCCGGACGGCCCACGCGGAGGACGATTCGGTCCAAACCGCCTAAGATTGCCTCCAGACAGCCCCATGGGCGTCCAAGACGTTTGCATACGCGACCATGAGGCGCTCCAAGCAGGGCTCCAGAAGAAAAAATAGTTCCATTATCTAGGGAAAACGTACATTTACAGCATATTCGCTGCTTGGGCTTCCACGAGGCCCACAACGGCCCAGTAAACCTCCAAGATCGACCTCTGGCACCCCAAGAGACTCTCCAAAAGGCTCCACGACGGCCTCCGGGCGCCCCACGAAGGCCCCAGAAACCTAGCAACGGCCCGGGGGAACGGCAGGACTGTCCTAAGAGGGCTCCAAAACGTGTCTAGAGAAGCTTCACAGGCTGTCCGGACAGGCCACGCAGGGGACGATTGCTGCCGCCCAAGGGGTCGGCGGTGTGGCGTAAGCCAATCATCATCATCATCATCATCATCATCATCATCATCATCATCATCATCATCATCATCATCATCATCATCATCATCATCATCATCATCATCATCATCATCATCATCATCATCATCATCATCATCATCATCATCATCATCATCATCATCATCATCATCACCATCACCATCAATCATCATCATCATCATCATCATCATCATCATCATCATCATCATCATCATCATCCGCGTCATCATCATCGTCATCGTCATTCTCATCGTCGTCATCATCATCGTCATCATCAGCAGCATCATCCTCATGCTCATAATCCTCATTATCAATATCAACATCAACACCGTCACCGATAACACCATCATCATCTTCAGCATCAGCATAAGCCGCAGCATCACCATCATCATCATCATCATCATCATCATCATCATCATCATCATTAACATCATCATCATTCTCGCCATCACCAATATCAACATCAACACCACCACCCTTATCATCATCATTATCATCAGCAGCAGCATCACCATTATCACCATCACCACGATCGTCAGCATCACCATCATCATCAACGTCATCTTCATCATCACCATTATCACCATCACCACCATCGTCAGCATCACCATCATCATCAACGTCATCATCACCACAATTATCACCATCACCATCATCGTCAACATCACCATCATCACCATCATCACCATCATCGTCAACATCACCATCATCACCATCATCATCATCATCATCATCATCATCATCATCGTCAACATCAACATCAACACCAACATCATCATCGTCATCCCCGTCACCGTCACCATCATCATCAACATTATCATCATCACCATCAGCAACATTACCAACATCGTCATCACCACCATTATGCTCATCCTTATCCTGATCCTCATCACAGCTGGACCGCCCTCGAACAGTCGCCACCCAGAATGCTGGACTGGCACGGTGGCGGGACTTGCCGCAGGCAGCTGGACAGTGGGCCCGCACTGCCGGGGCTTCTTCTGGTGCCCCTCCGTGGCCGCATCGTGGCCGTCCCGTGCGCTCAAGATGGCCCAAGGTGGTCTCCAAGATGGCCTCCAAGACGGTCCAAGATGGCCTCCAAGTCCGCCCAAGATGGTCCAAGACGGCCTCCCATACGGCCCAAGAGAGTCCAAGACGGCCGAAGACGGCCCAAGAGGCCCCCCAGAGGCCTCCAAGGCGGCCCAAGAGGCCTCTAAGAGGTCCTCCAGGAGGGCCCGAAGAGGCCAAAATCATTGATTTGCCTTAGGTGTTTGAAGGATTGTCGCAGTCGCTTCTTCTCGGCTTTCCGACGACCCAAGACGGCCCAAGAGGCACCCAAGATCGCCCCCCCATCGCCCCAGAGGCCTCCAAGATGGCCTCAGGACTGCCCAAGAGGCCCCCAAGACGGCCCCAAGAAGGCACAAAGACGGCCCAAGAGGCCTCCAAGACGCCCAAGCTGTTCTCTAAGACGGCCCTGGAGTACCCCAAGAGGGCCCCAAGTCGGCCCAGAAAGGCCCCCCCAACGGCTTCCGACGGCGTCAGACGGGCCAGGAGCCCATCAATATGGCCGAAGTTGGTTCGAAGCTGGCCCAAATCGGCCCAAGAGGCCTCCAAGAGGGCTTCCAGAAGGCCAGAAAAGGCAGACAAAAACACTGGTTTTCCCTAGGTGTTCGAAGGATTTTGCCATTTGCTTCGTTTCGGCCTTCCGACGGCCCGATACGGCCCAAGAGTCCCCAACGATCGCCCACGAATCGCCCAAGAGGCCTCCAATATTGCCCCAGAACGGCCTAAGGGGCCCCCAAGGCGGCCCCAGGAGGCCCCCAAGACGGCCCAGGAAGCTTTTAAGACGCCCAAGATGGCCTCCAAGGCGGCCCTGTAGCATTCCAAAAGGGCCCCAAGTCGGCTCAGAGAGGCCCCCCAAACGGCTTCCGACGGCGTCGGACGGGCCAAGGGCCCACCAAGACGGCCGAAGATGGCACTAAGATGGCCGAAGACGGCCCAAGAGGCCTCCAAGAGGGTCTCTGGGAAGGCCCGAAAAGGGCAAAATCATTGATTCCCCGTGAGTTTTTGAATGGTTGTGGCATTTGCTTTTTGTTCGGCCTTCCGACGGCCCGAGACGGCCCGAGACGGCCCAAGTGCCCCCAAAGATCGCCCAAGAGGCCCAAAACGGCCCCAAGAGGCCCCCAAGACGGCCGAAGAGGCCTCTAAGGCGCTCAAGATGGCCTCCAAGACGGCCCAAGAGCCCTCCAAGACGTCCTCCAAGAAGGCCCGAAAGGGTCAAAATGGTCTCCAGGCGGTCAAGATGACCTTCAAGATGCCCACGTGTTCCCCGAAGGCTTTCCAAACCGATTCGGGGAACACATGGTCCGATAGCTTGGCAGGTCTGGCCTCAACGTTCGGCCACATAGGTGCTTCCACAAAGGCAGGGGGCGGCGGTGATTCGCCGTAGGCGTCTTCGATGATATAATATACCCAACGAATATTGAACTCTACCCCCATGCCGAAGACGGACTCCCCCCCTCCGCGTATTCGCATTTTCTGCATACTTACTCTGACCGATCATTCATTCAAAACCGAACCTGATCGGACAAGATTTTGGACTCGTAGGGGGAAACGAAGAGAAGGATGATGGCGACGACACGGCGGCGGATGATGAGAATGACAGCGCGGATGACAGGGCAGGGAAGGGAGCAGGAGAACAACGAATAAGAAGACAAGCACAAGGACGAGGAGGAAGAGATGGAAAGGACGAGCACGAGGAGGAACGAAGCGGAGGAGGAGGACGACGACGACGGCGAAGGAGGACGGTAAGGAGCCCGAGGAAGACAGCGTCGAAGAAGGGGTGAGTCCTCGTGATCTTTCGAGGCTACTACCCTGGGGGCTGTTGGGGCCATCTGGGACGATCTTGGGGCATACTGGAAGCCTGGGGGCAACTGGGCGCAACTTAAGGCTCTGTGGGGGCCCTCTCAGGTCTTGGCGCCATTTTGGGCAGTCTTAGGCCGTCTGCAGGCCTCCTGGGATCATTCATTGAAATCTAATCCGCCGGCCCTCGCTTGCCGGGGGTAAAAAAATGCGTGCGAGACATTTGGCCCCTTCCACTTCCCCCCTCCCCAGGGGTCCAAGATCCCGTTCTCGGGGGGGGTGGGCGAGCTCGCCAATGCAATCCAGGGGCTCTCTGCAGCCTCTAGATAACGCAAAACTGGCCCCCAAGAAGGCCCAAACAGAGCGCCGAGACAGTCCAAAGAGAGCGTCAACACGGCCGAGGGTAACCCCGCGACGGTCCAAGATGGCTTCAAGGCAGCCCACGAAACCCCCCAGGACAGCCCAAGAGTGCTCCCAGAGGACCGGCAAGAGGGCCACAAGACGCCATGAAGATGCCCATTTTCGACATGTTCGCCTTTCTTGTCTCGACAGCGTCCAGTACGGCCCAAGGGTCTCCCAAGTCGCATCCAGACGGCCCATGAGGCCCCCAAGAGGGTCCGAAGACGGCTCAATACAGCCCAAGGAGGGCTGCAAGACGGCCCCAGGGTCCCCCTTAAGATAGCCCACGAGGACCCCAAGAACGGCCCAAGAGGGGCAATACGAACTGACCTCTCGAGCCGTTTCCCCCCCCCCCTTTGGGCCACGCAGTCCTCCAGAGGGCCCCGAGGCGCCCCCAAGAGGCTCCAGAAGGGCTCCGAAAAGCCGATCAGATGCCCTCAGCAGCCCTCGAAGAGGCCCCTCGCGGGCGTGGCAGAAGCACGCAGCCGCTCCAGCTCCAAAAAACCGCCATCGTGCCTTCAGGTCCTTTGCCCAATCCTTAAGCCCCAACCCTCGCTCCTGAGGCGCTCGCTGGTCAGGGCCCAGAACCCGAACTCTCAAACCTCTCGGGGCTCCCCGCGTGCCCCCCTGGTGCTCCCTGGTGATCTTCCCGCAGGGCTTCTCGGGCCCCCCGGAGGCCTCTCAGGACGGCCCCAAGACGGCCCCAAAGAGGCCTCCAAGACGCTCCAAGAGGCCTCCAAGAAGCCTCCCGAGAGGGCCCCAAGAGGCCAAAATCATGGATTTCCTTTTGGAGTCTGAAGGTTTTTGGTGTTCTCGCCTTTTCCGCTTCCCGACGCTCCCAAGAGGACGCCGACAGGCAACAATCATTGATTTTCTTGCTGTTTTCCTTGAAGTTTCGCGTTCTCGCCTTTTCTGCTCTCCGACGCTCCAAGACGGCCCTAAAGGCCCCCAAGACCACCCCAAGACGGCCCAAGAGGCCTCCAAGAGGGCCCCAAGACGGCCTAAGAGCGCCTAAAGGCGGCGGCGCAAGACGCGCCCAAGACGGCGCAACAGGCTCCAATAGGCCCCTGAGAGGCCTCGCACCAGATCCCAACGAACATCCAATAGGCTTCATACCCGAATCCCAGGCACGGTGCCGGGATGGGCCGAAGGCTATCAGATAGCTTACCGAACGCCCTGGACGTCTCTACGGTCGGCGAAATGGCGTAAGCCACTTGAATAATACTATCCCGGCCTGGACCCTTATTGCCGTACCCCACTCCTGTCAAAAACAGACGATGCGGAACACTACAATCAACCCGTCATGAAAACAAGAAATCGTCTTCTGTGCACGCTCCACTTGTGCAATATCCCAACCTCCCCCGCTCTGCAACGGCCACCTCACCTCCCCCGCGATAATCACCCACCAACCACACCGACCGGCCCAAGACGGCCCAACAGGGCACCAACAGGACCTCAAGAAGACCCAATAATAAGCGGCGCGCGCTGGGGGATAGGGGGAGGGGGAACGGCCTCTTAGAAGGCTGCTTCTTAGACGCAGCCTCTTAGGAGGCTGCTTCTTAGAAGGCGCAGCGGCCCTACAGCTACAGATCAGGCCCGCGCCTTTTATGAAGCAGGGATGCTTCTAAAAAGCCTTCCCCCTCCCCCCCACACCCCTCTGCGCGTGGCTGCAACGAGACCCCATCAATGACCGTGTTGGTGGCTGTCTTGGGCCATCTTGGCCGTCCAGGGCGGGTGGGCATTGCACAGATGCTGATGTCAATCTTCTGGACTTCTTGCCGGCCCAATGGCGCCCTACAGTGGAAACCCATGCAAAGAACTGCCCAGCTTGCCTCCAAGGTGCCCTGGGTTTCTTGGGGTTCGATAGTTTTGCCACGGAAAGCGTGACTTTCCCTCACCAAATAAGCAACGGACGTCCTGGGGTCTCAGGGTGGGGTTTCTTGTGGAAGGTTTCTTGTGGTCGAGCTCCTACTGTAGGATGCCCACAGGAAGGCTCAAGGGGGACCTGGAAAGAACCCCAAGAAGCCCGCCCCAGGGCGGCCCCCCAGAGAGCCTCTCCAGGAGCCGATTCAAAGCTGTCGTTAGGTCGGGCGCGTCCTCCTACAGGCGGATATTAGAAGAAAACTAAACAAATACGCAAGCACAAATCACATATAGTTCAAAAGAACACGACACATCCTCACCAGACTGTTGTTTGTTTAACTGTTCTTGAACATTCCTCCTGTCGAGAAACATACCCGACTCACAGCTATGGGCCACCAGTGGCCTTCCCGCCTGTCCCAGAGGGTAGGGGGCGGCGGTGACTCGCCGACGACGTCCTCGACAACACGAGATGGGAGCAGGAAACTGTCCACCTGACCCATGAACGCGCTGAACTAGGGGAACAACAGCATAAACATAAACTTTTAGCGCTCCGCCGAAAGTTTATGTTTCTGGCGAATTGTCTTCTTCGAGACCCAGGGAAGCGCTGAAAAACAGTCGAGTCTGGGCCTTCCAAGCTGCATACTTTCAGCCAACGGCCAGCACGGGCCTCGCGTGCGCATCATGTGCATCCGCTCTCCGCCCGCGGGCGTGGCCTGTCGTGCTCGCTGCGGAACCAGCCCACGGCGGCTGCGGAGGCGATGGCCACCGACGCCAGGGACCCGACGACGGGCGCGCTTCGGGGCGGAGGGGCGGGGGAGGCACCCGCCGAGACTTCGCGCGTGCAGGGCAGGAGGCGCGCAGTGGGACAGAGGGGCGGCAGAGGGCACGAGAGCCTTAGGCGGTGGCTGGCGCAAGGCGCCAACGCAGCACGCCACGTTGCGAGGAAGCGCGCTTCCGCGCGACCTCACGCGGGTGGCTCACGCGCGACTCCGCGCGGTAGGGACACCCTTGTTGAACGTTGCCCAGGTGACTCGAGGGGCGCTGCGGCTGTTCCGCAGTCTAAGTGGGGCACTGTGGGGACCGCGGGAACGTGCCAATTTCCCAATGCTGTCGCTACAGAAAAGTCGCCAGCCGAACCTTGTTCCCTCTGCCAGGTCGTCGAATCAACCTCACGCTCGGGTCGCTTCTGGGCCACCTCCAAATTAGACCTTCGAGTCTGTCCTGAAAACGATGTGCCTTAGAATGCCAAGGCGAGCTCAACTTTAGCGACCGACAGCCCGCTGGAACGCCGAGCAGCAAGCGCAAGGCCGAGGCCGTAGAGTGCGAAACACATGCCGAAAACATGATTTCCTCGACTAACTCCGCGTCTGCATCCTTGGATGCGTTGCAAGGTTAACCTGTGTGTGCGTGTGTCTCTCTCTCTCTCTATATATATATATTTATCTTTCTCTCTTCCTCTACTTTTGCTGCCCCTCGATGTATGTACATGTAGCGTTCGCTCTGGCTCCCTCTTTCTCTCTCTCTCTCTCTCTCTCTCTCTCTCTCTCTCTCTCTCTGTCTTTATGAATATCTCTCTCTCTCTTTCTCTTTCTCTCCCTCTCTACCTCTGTCTTTCACCGTGCGTCTCTCTAAACATCTCAACATGCACATATACCAAACGTGCTGAGTTTTATACTTATATGCAGATCAGTGGGGGGACCGTTCATTGTCCTCGGGCGCGTGGCTGAAGTGAGTTTCGGCGATGCAGATTGTTGCGTTGTTGTTACGTTCTTGTTGCGTTGTTGATGCCGTCGTCCTTGCCCGCGACCTGCCCGCGACCTGCCCGCGACCCACCCCGCGACCCATCCGACGACCCACCCAGCGACCCACCCGCGATCCACCCGCAGTCCACCCACATCCCTTGAACGAGCAAATCAACGCCTTCAGCGGGCTCGTTGTATACGTTGTAAAATTAAGCGCCTGCGGCAAGCTTCTTCAGAACCTCGCAAACTGCAGTCGTCCCCGCCGCCTTTTTACTCCTATCCGCAACTGCGCGGTGCTACGTATACGGTGACCATTATCACATAACTAACGTATCCGTCTCTTTCACCGTCCCACTCTCGCCTTGGAATGGTATTGCAAGATGCCGCGGCATCCCCCTCCACTCTCCGTCGGGTCGGGCGACACAACAGACGGCAGCTTGAGCAGCGCCACGGAGCTGGCCAGCCAAAGTCGAGACGAACAGCAGCGTAAACAAGGGAACACAATCAACTTGGGCACCCGTTTCGTAAGGCCAATGCCAACGAACACTAATCATGTATTTCAACAAGGCGTCGGGCCGACGGGTAGAAACTGGCCAGGCGGCCGCGCGTGAATCGAGCGCGCCCGCTGCTAAACCCCTGCCGACCTGCAGACCCAACGCCCGCCAGTCTGACCAATGTAAACGAAGCCCGCCGCCTGCCGATTCCGCGCCAATGCAAGCCTGTTTGCCTGACCAAATCATCGACGACACCGAAACCGAACCACCAGAACCACATCAACTGCTCCGGCACTGCTACAGTGAATATGCCAGCCGCCAGCACGCCGTGTTGCCAACGCGGTGGTGCTGGATCGGCCAGCACAGCCAGGACACGCACCTCGACGTGGAATCACGTCGGGGCAAGACACTTAAAGCCCGCCAGAATACGGCACTACATGCGTTTCACGGTGTGCAATGGCGGATGACAGAAGAGGATGTACGAAGAGGATGTCAGACGCTGTGGCGGCTGTAGTGGGGCTGGCAGCCTGTACGCCTGCGCAGAGGATCTAAACCTCGTGGTTTCGATCGCACCTGAACGGGACGCCTGGCTCTGGTCGGCAAGTCAGTTGTCAGACCGCAGGTGCATCCCCGCTACGAAAGTTAATTCATCTTGGCTAACATTGACATGTGTGGGCGCTGTGGTGGGAAGTGGTATGGGAGTGATTCTTCCTTGTGGCTTCATGCGGGGAGAGATTCAGAGTTGCCTGGAAGCGACCGGGAGTGATTTCTCCCTTGTGAATTTACGGGGGAGAGATTTTATCTTGAATTGGTTATATATTATCAATGTTACCAGGGAGAGCCCCGGAAACCTCTCCCGCCAAGCCAGGCCGAAGACTGCCGTGCTAGGAATCTACGGGGGGGGGGGTGCACTCGGAGACGCCCTAGTCGTCAGTGCTCAACATGAGTAACTTTCGTAACGGGTGAGTAAGGGCCAATGTATCTACGAATCTCTTCGCCACGCGGATTCGGCTGCGACGCTGAACGGGCACGTCTAGGCCGGCGGCGGGCAATGATGAACGGCCCTGAAGCGCTGGCCAACCCCCCTGCATCCCCCTAAGCATGCGGGAGTCCTCCCACCTTCTCCTCCTTCTCCACCTTCCCCTCCTACTCCTCCTCCTCCTCCCCAACTGGAGGAGGGTGGGTGGGTGGAGCAGTTCGGGGCTGCTGTCAAAACATCTCGAAGCGCGTCTGTCACCTAAAGACGTTATGGATGCATGTCGGGGGCCCCTTCCACCTACAATGCCTGCTCCGCTGCCCTCGGCAGCTCGCACGCCCATCTTGGAGCGCATCGAGCGATGCATCAGCGAGTGGGGTGACAAACCCCAACCCAACCCGAAGACCCAAATTTCGGATTGAAGGGGGGGCGTAAAGGGTTCTACATGTGTTTCTCAATGTTCCCCGACGCCCCCCCAACTGGGGATGGAGGGCAAACTGGGGCCCTTGGGTTGGGTTGGGGTGGTCTGGTGGGTGGTGAAGGACGAGGGGGGTCAGCGCATTTTTTCCCGAGGCCTTTACGCGGATGAGTGGGGTCCAAGGGACGCCTTGGCAGAAAAACAAAGGGCGAACAAGGGGCCACGAGATCTGGGGGACTTTCCCCCATCAGTGCTTGCACTGACGGGGTCCTCGCGGATGTTGCTAGAGTTGGCGAAAATGCCTCGCCGATTCTGGTGGCACGCTGGGTTCCCGGGTTCCCGGTTCCGGGTTCCCGGGTTCCTGGTCGTTGGTTCTGGGCCGATCTCACTGTCGAATTCATTACGGATCTCATTGGTTCCCGGGTTCCCGGTTCCGGGTTCCCGGGTTCCTGATCATTGGTTCCGGGCCGATGGTTAACTATCGATCTCACTACCGATCTCACTGTCGAGTTCATTACGGATCTCACTCAATGTTCCCCAATCAGTGCTTGCACTGAAGGGGTCCTCGCGGATGTTGAAGATTTGGCGAAAGGGCCCCGCCGATTTTGGTCGCACGCTGGGTTCCCGGGTTCCCGGTTCCAGGTTCCCGGGTTCCCTGTTCCAAGTTCTGGGCCGATTTCGGTGGGCGGCGAGGTTCCCAGGTTCCCAGGTTCCTGGTCGATCTTCTTATCGATCGGTCTCACCATCGATCTCATTAACCACTTCTCCATCGATCTCACCATCGATTTCACCATCGATCTCACTACCGATCTCACAAGCGACCTCACTAGAGATCGCATGAGCGATCTCGCGATCGATCTCACTATCGATCTCATTGAATCGATGTCATTTTCGGTCTCACGATCGACCTTACATTCGTTCTCACGATCGATCGATATCACTATCGATCTCACAAGCGATCTCACTAGAGATCGCATGAGCGATCTCGCGATCGATCTCTCTAGCGATCTCATTGAATCGGTTTCACTCTCGGTCTCACGATCGACCTTACAATCGTCCTCACTATCGATTCCAGTATCGATGTCATTATTGATCTCACATTCGATCTCAAGATCCGTAGTATTGATTGTCAAATCATCCACTGATTGGGATTTCTCAAGTGTAATCAAGGCCCCCGCCACGATGCCCACACACACCCAGTCCTCATCCCTCTGCTCGCCGGCCCCGACGAACAGAACCTCGACACTCCAAGCAGGCCCAGCGCAGTGCGGGCCAACGGGAACTCATAGTTGACCTTGCCATCCCTCGGGGGGCTGTGAACTGATCGAAAGCTGCTGGGAGGCCCAGCCCAGTGACACTCGAACCAAATTCTGTGGACCTCGCCATCCCTCGGAGGGCTGCGCACTGCGAAACTGTCGCCACGTTCGCGGGCTGCTGACGGGTCCAGCGCAGTGATGCCTTACGGGGATTCACAATTCTCGCATCACAGGGGGCTGCGATCTGCGACACTGTCGCCACGTTCGAGCGCTGATGGGGGACCCAGCACAGTGACGTCACACAGGGACTCAGACTAGACCTCGCCATCCCTGGGAGGCTGCGATCTTCGAAACTATCGCCACGCCTCGGGTTGCTGGGGGGCCAAGCGCAGTAACGCCCGACTCAAACTCACATCGAACCTCGTCATCCCAAGGGGGTCTGCGATCTGCAACACTGCCGTCACTTTCGAGGGCTGCTGGGGAGCTCAGCGCACTGCGGGCCTACGGACCCATGTCAAACCCCGCCGTCCCTTGGGGCAGCGGTCCATGAGACTGTCTCCACTTCCGAAGCCACTGCGGGTCTGGCGCAGCGACGCCCTACCCAGACTCAGATTAGACCCTGCCATCCCTGGGGGGCTGCCAACTGATTCAGATTAGACCTCGCCATCCCTGGGGAGACTGCGAACTGATTCAGATTAGACCTCGCCATCCCTGGGGAGACTGCGAACTTTGGAGCTGTCGCCACTTTCGAGGGCGGCGCTGGGGAGCCCAGCGCGAACCTCCATCATTTTGGACGCCCGAAATGGGTACCGAAGGAATGGGCACTATGCCCAACAACCAATGTTGTCCCAAACCAACAGCGGCCGCTGTTGGGCGGGCGGCCTCCTGTCTCGAATGGACACAAGCCGCGGCGGCGTGGACAGCGGATCTTGTTCAAAATGAACCAGATCCGCTGTTGGGCATAGTACCCATTCTTTCAGTACGGCAGGTTCGTGTCGTGCCGACCCCAGCGTTGGTTTTTGACACCGCAGGGATCGTTCAACCTTGAACGATCGGCCGCTGCCGCAACGTCCGATCGTTCAACATCGATCGATTCTGGGTCGCCGGCGGCGTTCAACCTTGAACGCCCGCGCTGGGGTCGCCGCCGGTCGACACGACACAAACCTACCGTACCCATTTCGGGCGTCCAGAATCACACCCCGCACACCCTTGCCCTTTGTCGTCGGTGTCCCGAGAGCTGTGCGGAGCGCGGGCCTCCCACGCAGCCTTCACGGCCAGTGGCGGCTCTTGCAACGTGATAACCCCTGACGTGATCCTCCTCCTCCTCCTCCTCCTCCTCCTCCTCCTTCTCTCCTCCTCCTCCTCCTTCTCTCCTCCTCCTCCTCCTCCTCCTCCTCCTCCTCCTCCTCCTCCTCCTCCTCCTCCCCCTTCTGTTGCGGCGCAGGGGTTGGCTACGTCGCCGGGGTATGTTTTTCTTCGAAGCGTTGGGTGCCAGGTGGCGGGGCCACCGGCGCCGACGCCAGCGGCCAGCGGGCGGCGGGCGGGCGGGCGGCGGTCCTGTTGGGATGCGCGGCCTCGGGCCCGCGCTGGCCGCCGCGGGCCCTCCGTGGCAACTTCGCTGCGGCGGAGCGGTCCGCCGCGCCTCCTCGGGCAGAAGAGCCCCGACAACAGCGAACATCAAATACCGACGACGACGACGACGACGACGACGACGCCCGACCGACGACGACGACGACGACGACGACGACGACGACGACGACGACCACGACGACGACGACGACGACGACATGACGACGCCCGACCGACGACGGCGACGGGGGGGAGGGAATGAGGGGAAGGAGGGAGGGAGGGGAGGGGGGAGGGAGTAGGACGACCAGGACGATGGGGAGGAAGACGATGATGTTGCCACCGGTGGTGAGGGCGGCGGTGGTGATGATGTTGATGGCTGACGATGATGGTCATGACGAGGACGCCCACGATGATGACGAAGATGGGGAGGAGGAAGAAAGACAACCCCTTTCACTTACTCGTCCTAGTAATCCGCAGCCCCCTCCCCCTCCCCTCTCCGCTCGCAGCCAGGGCGGACCTGGCGGCTCCACAGGGGCGCCCCGCAGCCAGGCCGCGCGGCCCTTCGGCCCCGAGCCCGCCTCCCGTTGGAGCCCGCCCTGGGGGTTAGCATCGGGCAGAGGCGGCAGAGGCGGGTGGTGCCACGACGCGCGTCGCCTCCGCAGCCGCACGCACGGCCCTCCGCCCGCGCCAGCTCCGCCCGGAGCGGGCCCGGCGGAGCGTCGGCTCCGCAGCAGGAGGAGGGAGGAGGATCAGGGAGAAAGCGAGAGGCGGGTGCCCCGGGTGCCCTGCCGCAGGGCGTGTGTGCCACCCGACCCCGCCGTGGCGGGAGACTGGCCTGTCGGCGCGGCCCCTGAGGGCCCTTGGCGGCTGTCTGCAGCTGAGCTATCAGCATTGCGCTGAACGGTCCAGCCCGTGAGCAATGGCTGAAGTAAAATTCTCGGGGCTGCCCCGCCCATACTTGTGAGGAGGAAGCGGCGAGTAGGAGCAATGGGAATGGGGAAGGGGGGGGGACGAGGAAGAAGAAAAAGGAGGAGGCGGACGAGGAGGAGGACGATGTAGGGGACGCGGAGCAGGAGGAGGAGGAGGAGGAGGAGGATGAGGAGGGGAAGAGGAGGAGGAGGAGGAGGAGGAGGAGGAGGAGGAGGAGGGGAAGAGGAGGAGGAGGAGGAGGAGGAGGAGGAGGGAGGAGGACAAGGTGAAGAAGGAGGAGTCGTAACAGGAGAGCGGCTGCCCGCTGCTGAATACGGCGCGCCGCCTGCGCTGCGCGCGCGGCACGGGTGACTGCCGCAGACGCGCGTCTGCGGCCGTTCGCTGAGCTCCTCCCGACCCTGCTCCATTTCTCCCTCCTCTCCCTCCTCTCCCTCCCCTCCTTCTCCCTAGCGACGGGGAGCGGTGGCTAGAGACCCCGCCACTCCCGCGGGGACGGCGACCCCAGAGCAGCACGCGCAGCCACCAAGGGCCGCCCCCGAACACAGAAGCCCAAACAGACGGAAGCCGACATGGGCCGCCCCCCCCCCAAAAAAAAACGGCGTTCCCAGCCGAGCGGCGCCCTCGGTGGCCTATACGCTACCCGCTCCGCGGCTCATCTCGCCGTCGACGAGGGTGCCGAAGAGGTGATTGCAGCCCCGAACGGGGGGAAGAAGAGGAGGAGGAGGAGGAGGAGGAGGAGGAGGAGGAGGAGGAGGAGGAGGCGGAGGAGGCGAGGGAGGAGGCTCTCGCCTTGGGGCCGCACAGCGTCGCCCAAACGAGGGGCTCCTTCGCTTGCTGGCAAGTCAGCGAGCTGGCCCGCGGACGCTTCGCCTGCCGAGCGCCCGTGGGCGCCGCGTGCGCTGGCCGGGCCCGACGGTGCCTCGCGTGGCGGGCGGCCGTGGGCGTCTCCGCGCGCGCCTCAGTGGGCGCCCCCGTGCGCCGGCTGGGGCTGCCGTCGTTTCGCGTGGTGGGCGCACGTGGGCGCCCACGTTTGAAAGAAGCGCCGTGCACGTCAGGGGTGCGTTGGCAAATAAGTGAAACAGCAAGTTCCGCTGCCGGAGGCGCGGCTGCGAATCAAGAAGACGCGGCGCAGACACCGACAGCGACGACGGCGGCGGCGAAGGGGGGGGGAGGACGACGAGGGGGAGGAGGACGAAGGCGAGGAGGAGGGCGAGGAGGAATCAGCACTGGCAGGCTCAATGCTCACTGCTCACGTTTGGAGGCCTGGAAATGGGCACCAACACCAACACAGGGGTTTGCCTCCACAGGGGGAGGATGATCCTAGATTTCGGTGTCGGTGTCAACCTCCAGGCTTGCGGCACGTGGGGTCCGCTGGGGAGGATCGCTGCTCTCGAGGAGAGCACGTTCTGCCCCCCTCAGGACTGGGGGTAGCGGCGCCCCTGCGCGCGACGCGTGCTGCATGTCAAAACACGTTTGCCCTTTCGTCCCGGCAGTGTTCGCACGTCATTTGCCCAGCCTGTATGGCCCCCCGCCCCCGACATCTCCTGCGAACTATGCATCACAGCAAGATTTCTTCATGTCAATACGACACGTTTCACGAACTGTTTGCAACAAACATACGACGTCCACAAGCGCACGTATCGAAATCATACAACGCACATTCGACTCGCACACATTTTCGCATACACACACACACACACCTTCCAAACCCTTGGGATCAACATCTGGCCACCTGCCAAGCCACCCACATGACACCCAACCCGAAGTCGCCGCTGGGCCTGTCAATTACCAGTGGGGAGCACTCCGGAACATGACACAAATCCGCCGACCCTTCGTCGTGTGTGAGACGCTTTTTCGTCTGAGTCGTCGTCGTCGTCGCCGTCAGCTCCAAGGCAATGAAGGAACAAAGAATTTGAAGAACGTTGCAATGAAGTCGAAGGGACGGCCTTCCCTTTCAACCGCTCCCCGCCGGGAGCGGGGGAGGTCTCGGGAGGGGGTCTCTGCGTAAGAACGCCATGGGGTCCCTGAGACCCCCAAAGCCCCAGGACGGGCCAAGAGTGCCCGAAGATGCCCCCGAGGCGGTCCAAGAGGGCTCCGAATCGCCGAGCGATCGGTCCAAGACCCCCAGGGTAGCCTCCAGACAGCCCAAGAGGCCTCCAAGACGCGCCAATCGGCCTCCAAGAGCACTCCCACGAAGGCCTTACGAGGCAAACGTCACTGATGTTTCTACGTTGCTGGCAGATTTTGGCGCTCTCGCCTTTTCGGCTTCCCGACGCTCCCAATAGGCCCTCAAAATCGCCCCAGGACTGCCCAAGAGGCCCCTCCCAGGAAACCCCAAAAAGCTCCCAAAAGGCTCCCGAGAGGCCCCCAAGTGGCCCCCAAGAGGCCTCGCAACTGCCCCCAAGGAGTCCCCCGAGAGCGCTGCGAAAAGACTTCAAGAAACATCCCTTGAGGACTCTGGCCAACGTCAGCGTCGTCGTCGAGGTGGCGGCGTCGCCGCTGCCGCCGCCGTCGTCGTCGTCGTCGTCGTCGTCGTCGTCGTCGTCGTCGTCGTCGTCGTCGCCGTCGTCGTCGTCGTACCCTTCAAGGTCGGCGGCACCGGCCGTAATGCCTTCTTAATACCATGAAACCCGCACAACCCCCAACCCAATGTGTTTGGGGGGACCGGGAAGAGAACGAGGACGGGGAGGAGAAAAGAAAGGAAAGGGCGAGAGATAGCGGGAAAGAGAGTGGCAGGACGGAGGACGGGGGGGGTCGAGGGAAAGAGGCTTTATTTTTGTCTTCTTCCCCTTCGAGTGGAAGGGGGAGATTGGGGGGGAAGCAGAGGGCGATGTGGAGGACGAGGGCGAACCAGACAACGAAGAGGAGGAGGAACGGCTGGGAGGAGGAGGACGACGACGAGGAGGACTAAATGCAAAGCGACAGGGGAGTCGCGCACAGGGCCTCAGTCAGAAGAGCTGGAGGGGAGAGGGGCGGACGGGGGGCCCGCCTTGCTGCCGCGCCCGATGCGCACGGGGCCGCAGACGCCGAGTGCGCGGGCCGCGGGGGGCCCCTCTCTTCTTCCGTCCTCACATCTCCACCCTCCTCAGGAAAGCTCCCCGGACTGCAGAGGACACGCACCGTCACCCCTCGCCGCAGGGGATCCCGCAACTCCCTCATTTGGGGCCCTGGGCTCCTGGGAAGGGTGAGAACGAGCCAGGGCATCACGAGCACCCTGGGCGGCGTCCAAGTGAGCCATTTCGCGAACAGCCCTCGAGGGCCACTTGTGGAAAGGATGCAAGCCCTTGGCCACACGGGCAAGGACCTCTCTCCCCTTGGGGGCGGGCTCACCACAGGGCTTCATTATATTCACAACGTCATAATGGCATGGCACCCGCACGTCGTACAAAACAGCACACGCCACCGTGAGATCTCACAGAGCTTGTGAGACTCATGAGCCGTCTGACCACGAAGCTGCCTCCCCCCGCCACCACAACCACCGCCTCCCCGAAGCGAAGAGGCTCCCTCGGACGAGGGGGCACAATAATGGCAGGCGGGCCAGGGCCAGTCGTCCACGAGGAGAGCACAGACGTCGCACCTCCAGTTGTCGGCACATTTCACAGCACGGTGAGTGGAGGCCCAGATGCAAAGGGAACGGGCGGATGGCGTGGCCATCCTCTGAACACCATCCCGCTCTCCACGCAATACCTTGCCAGTGCCAATACAGCGAATTATGGCCCTCGTTCGAGCACGGACGAGAGCAGCAACGGAATCCCACAGATCCGTGAAAGGGACGGATTCACTGGCCGACCTCCAGTTATTGGCAGCTCCTCTGCCAGCCCAAGTATCAAGCGACAATGTTGCCGCAAGCAAGAAAAAGGGTCGGCAATCTGGCCTGGCGATTCGCTCATACTGGTGCGACGGAGCCAGAGCAAGGCCACATCACGTCCCCGTGCTTTCTTCGACCGCAACGCAAACTGCCGACAACTCGGATCGCGGCACAGTCTACCGCTTGCCCTCCAAAGTGCCAAAAAGGCCAGAGTGGCCTGTCCAAAGGCTGTTGCCATCGGGCATGACCGCCGCCACGGACCATCCGCACCTACGCCTCACGGAATCATCTGAGAAGGCTCCTCCAGAGCCGTCCCAAAATGAAAGAGGCGACCGGCGACGGGGTCTCGACAGGCTTCCCACAAGGGCCTCCCAGATCCATCAGGACCCACCACCTCCCACCCACTCCCGTCCCACGGAGGAAAGGAGGGAGTAGTGGAGGATAGGCTAGGCACGCCACGGAGCCACAAAGCAGGGTAGGAAGAGGAGGAGGAGGAGGAGCAGGAGGAGGAGGAGGAGAACGAGGAGGAGGAGGAGGAGGAGGAGGAGGAGGAGGAGGAGGAGGAGGAGGAGGAAGGGAAGAAGAAGGAGGAGGACGAGGAGGATGACGAGAACGCGGAGGATGAGGGCGAGGAAAACGAAGACAAAACCGAGGACGAGGAGGACTGGGCTGCCGAGGGCGAGAAAGACGGGGCCGGCGAAGACGAGGCGGGAAACGACAAGGATGACGAGGTGGAGGAGGAAGAGAACCAGGTGGACGATAGAGGAGAATGTTCGAGAAAAGGAAAGCAGGAGGCGCCGCTTCGACGGGCAGCGGGGGGGCCGCATGGGGTGGGCCAGTCCCGCCTGCGAACGCGAAACACAGGGGATAGATCTTCAGACTCCCACCAGTGCCACTCGCTGACCATGCTTGAAATATATCAAGAGACGCCCACCACTGCCATATGGAGCACATGTTTGAAATATAGCAGAGAACCTCACCAACGTCCGTAGATGAACATGTTTGACACACATCAAGGACACCCACCAATCCAGGGAACCGACTACGTTTGGTAAAATCCAGAGGTCCCACCAATGCCGGTAGGTGAACCTTCTTGAAACAATTCAAACACACCCACCAATGCCAGTAGGTGTACATGTTTAAAATAAATGTCGCCCTCACGACTCCCACCGCTGCAGGCAGGTGGCCGAACATGTTTGAAATACACCTGAGACTCCCAGCAATACCAGGAGGTGAACTTGTTTGACCCATGCAAAAGGCGCCAACAATTCACGAATCCGACCGTGCTTGACAAATGTATGCGGCGAGCTCGGCAATCACAGCCCTCATCGAGCATCCCATCCCATTGAGGTGTGCTTGAGAGGTTATGACATTCGCGAAGATGCAGGGCCTCAGCGACCTCCGTGGCGCCATCACCAACGACCCCCACGAAAAGCATAGAATACGAGCGCGCAGTCGTGATCCTGCCAACCCGCCCCAAGTGCGACCCTCCGAGAACTGTGGCAGATCCTCCAATGAACAAGGAGAGGAGCCAACTATAATGTGCACACACACACTCCCAGTGGGCTCGTCAACGTCGTCGATCGGACCCTCCTTGGGCCAGACAGCGTCACGCAGCGTCGTCAAGAACACCAGCATGGAGGGGCGCCTCACGGACCACCTGCACAACATGTTGAGCGGAAGGCTCAAGCTTGTGCTGGACAGCGTCGCCAACGCGAGGGGGAAGAACCGCACGAATGTCACTGCAGAGCCTGACGGTGAGCAGCGACGGCACCGCAAACATAAACAGCTATACCATGAAACTCCGCGTTGTGAAGATGTCCAGGTAGCTGGTCTACGACACGATCCGCATCAGGAACAGGGCCGCACTCTCCCATGATCCACTGCAGCGACTCGATGTGCCATGTCCCTCGGCTCGCCACCACTCTTTTCGTGCGCTACTCTGCAATAGCCCTCAAGAGCCTCGTGAAAGTCTTCGCCAAGGAAAGGCACAAGGAGATACCCCTCGAGTTCCAGGTCACAGACTCCGCCTCCAGGAAGACATCATAGAGAAGGACGGCTGCTCTCACCCCACAGAAACGGAGGCCGCACCGGCCGAGCGACAACTTCATTATGCTATTTATTCTCTCCTAGCAGCAGCGTTTGAACACAAATGGATTCACCCTCAAAGTTGCACTTCAACCGTAGCTGACCAGTATTGCGAAGAGAAAACAAGACCCCAGTCGCCCTCCACGTGAACCTCGGCCCTCAATGATGGCGACGAGAATGCAAGGGCACCAGATTCCTCCACCAGCTGAGGCTATACGTTCGTGCCGCCATGCACCACGTACCAGAGGAAACGGGGGAACAGGGACACCATCCGCCTGGTCCAGAAGAACAGGAACAAGGCCAGGACGAGCGATAGGACCCCCCTAATTGAACAGAAACTGTGGGATGCTAGGCAATGGCCCATCAGGCAACAAGCAACCGCTATCATCATGGCGGCGATGCACTCTGAGGAGAAAGCAACCACCGCCATCACGGTGCACCTTCCGCACTCCGCGGGTCGCTCCCGCCTGCCCAGGGGTCATCATGCTGAGGCTGCTCACGATGGGACCGCCGTGCACCAGTGCCACCATCACGCCGACCATCACCGCCCTGATGGCCATCTTCATCGCCGCGGGGCAGGGGGCCACCAGGTTCACCAGGGGCGCCACCACCAGCCCGAGCAGGCCTCGCTATGCACCTGACCTCCGAGTGAAGGTCGGAGTGGCGATGCCCTCGGTCCGCCACGTGGCAGGCCTCTGTGGCCTCAGGGAGCTAGTGGAGCGTCGCCGCGCCGAACGCTTGGAGTTGCGCGGGGCTAGCCACCTCTGGGTAGCAGTGCACCGTGACCACTTGGTTAGGGAAACAAGCAATGACATGAACATAAAACTCGGAGGTCCGCGCGGATTTATCGGATCGGCGCTGGACCCCCCTTCCTGGCGCGCGGAGCGCGCCAAGGGCGGCGCCGGATGCGCCGTTGGGGGGCTCCAGCGCCGATCCGAGAAATCCGCGCCGACCTCAGAGTTTTTATGTTTAGTCATGTAATGTTTCGTTCCCCTATTGATGCAGCAGCCGAGGATGTGCGGCGGAGGTGGCAACCAGCTTGACGCCCTGCTCCAGCAGATCCCAGAGGTACAGAAATGCGGGCCTGCACCACCACCGCAGCAACGCCTGCCGGAGGATAGGGGAGACGAGCGTGCGTAGAGAAGCCCACTGCACAGCAAACGCTCGTGCAAAAATGGGCTCAGGAGGAAGACAATGAGGAGGAGGAGGAGGAGGAGGAGGAGGAGGACGAAGAGGAGGACGAAGAGGAGGACGAGGAGGGGAACCAGGAGGAGGACGACGACGAGGAGGAACAACAGCATGAAGAGCCGCCCCTCCCCGCGGCCCCGCGGTCCTGCCGCGGGCGCGGTGGAGGCCATGGGAGCCCCCGCCCTCCAGGTCGCGGAGAGGCCAGCGAATGCCACTGCCTGCGGAGTTGGTGCAACAGCGACCGAGAATAGCAGGAGGAGGAGAAGGAGGAGGAGGAACGAACGAACGAACGAACGAACGAACGGACGAACGAATGAACCCTATGGTGCGTGTCTGACCTTGCTGTGTAGTAGTGCACGCGGATCGGCCCTTGCAGCCGAAGACTTCGGGACAAGTCCGCCTCAAAAGAGCTATTGGGATTCGGGGACCCTGTCTACAGTCTGTGAGAACCACATTGTGATGCCAGCGCTCGAGCGCTGGGCGACTCCCAAGCCGGTGCTCTGAGCTGATCTGGAAGCTCCGATCTCGAGGCCCCTCTGAGGAGCACGACGACGAAGCGGAGGAGGTGTAGCAGACGGAGGCGGAGGATGAGGAGGATGAGGAGGATGAGGAGGAGGAGGAGGAGGAGGAGCAGGATCAGGAGGCCAGCGAAGGCCACCGACTGGACTGCGGAGTCGGTGCAACGGGGAGCGAGAAAAAACAGGGAGCCGGCAACGGGGTATGGGGCGCGAGCGTGCCCGTGGGACAGGCCCTTGCTAGGCACCCCCTGCGAAAGCCCCCTACTAACTCCCCCTGCTAACGAAGACGACGCCAGGACGAGGATAAAATCGGGTGAGGATAAATCGAGAACCTCTGAGATCTGGCGGCTCTGGAGGATGTCTCGGGCGCCGCGGCATTCTCAGAGCGTTCTGGAACGCTCCGAGAGCGTTCCAGAACGCTCTGGAACGGCTTTATCATCGTCCTAGCCCCGCCCGACAAACTCCCCTTACCAACTCCCACTGGGATCTTCTGCGGCGATCCCGGGACAGGACCCCAGTGACGAAGTAAGACCGTTCGGACCCCCACTCTCTGGTATAGAACGCAACAGCGGACATGAGCAAAACTTTCGGAGGTTCACGCGGATTTGTTGGGTGGGCGCTGGACACCCCTGGCGGCGCGTCTGGAGCCTCCCCTGGCGCGCTCGGCGCGCCATGCAAGGGTGTCCAATATCCAGCGCCGATCCAAGAAACCCGCGAGGGCCTTTTCCCTAGCGTGTCACGGCGGCGGCCCCCGCCACATGCGAATCATGCCCTGCAGACTGATAGGGTGTCACTCTCCTTCGTGGAAAGGATAGCGCGGGCGATATGCCAAGATCAATCGGCATTTAATCGGGAAGCCAGGTCAAATAGGAACGTAAGCCAAATTGGGCTGTATCGGCACGGAATCGAGATCGAGTCGGACCGGCTGCGCCAGGACGCACAAGAGCGCTGCGCCAGCATCAGCCCGCAGGGGTGAAAACGTCGGAATGAGCGGCCTCGGCGATGGTCCTTGCTGTGCCATGCAAGCTGGCGACGTGTTTCATTCTGCCTCGTCGGACGGGAGCCTGGGACAATTTCGGAACGTTGTTGGGGGCTGGGACATGCGCAGCACGTCGCGCCGAAGCGTGGTGGGCCAGAACCCTGAGGCGCGACAAGCTGAGCAAACGTTCCTGATCGTTGAGCGAGCGAGGTGGTTTTGCTCGGCCTGCTGGGTAGGACATACAGGCTCGCTCGACGCATCACCAGGTCTTGCTTGCTGAAGCTTCAGCCGAACTGCATTCAGAAGGATAAGAAACGCAGATGGGATCACTGCTGTCTCCGTTGTCACATTCGATACCGTCTGCATCAACACCTCAATCCTCCCGTGCTTCACGTCAGTGCTGCACAGCGTTCTCAACGAAGAACACGATCGCACGGCCTGGCCCAAGGAGGGTAAGGGATGGACGGAACTGCTGGGATGACGGAACCGTCGAGAGAGAGAGAGAGAGAGACCGAACACACGCTCGACACTTGCCCCAGCTGCATAAAGTCCCCTCTCGCCCTTTCGCTCTCGTCCTCGCTGCTTCTTCCTGTCGCGGTCGTCGCCGTCGCCGCCGACGACGAAGACGCCGACGACGACAACATCGACGACACGGCAGCGGCGTCGCGATGCAGACCCCGACCACGACGGACGACCACGGCTTCGACGACGACGCCGACGACACCACCGCCGAAGACGACGACGACGACCTGTGTGGGGGGTGATTGGCGCCTGGGCGTCCATGGCCATCGGAGACAGAGCCCTGCAAAACGGGGGCGCCGGGGCCCAGCGGCGGGGAATCGGGCGCGGCTCCGCCTTCAGGAATGCTGGCTGCGTGATCCGGGATCCCGCGCGCCGTCGCCCCTCCTAGCCCGTCGCCCTCGTCGTCGTGATGGGCGGCGTCGTCGCCGTCGGCTCTCCTGCTCCTCAGCCCCTGCCTCCTCCTTCTTCCTCTTCTGCCTCCTCCCTGCCCCAGTCCGTCGCCCCTCGTCGTCCTCCTCCCCCCTCCTCGACTCCCGCGTCTCCTCCTCCTCTTCCTCCTTCATATAGTTTCCTCAGAACGAACAGCTTTGTTTCCAGCGGCAGAAATAGCCGCAACTCCTGGGTGAAACGCCGCGGTGCGATGTGAAACGCCGCTTTGCGAGTGAAACGTCGCGGTGTAGGGTGGGCCAGGTGCTTCGCTAAAGAATTTGAAGCAGCTTCACGGATGGAGGGCAGGTGATTTTCAAAATCTGGCTCTCGCTGTAGCGCCGCGCACATTCGTCCCTAACACTTTGCAATTGGTTCGCGGATGGAGGGCGGACGAATTTCAAAATGTTGCTCTCGCCTGAACGCCGCGCGCATTCGACTCACACGTTTGCACCACTTTCAAAAATGAAGGGCGGTTCTTGATCCAATCCGAGCTCTCGCCTTAGCGACGCGCACATACGCACATTCTGTGTGAAAGTCCAGCTCAGTTTCAGGATTCGCTTTGCCGAAGTCCCAGGAATGGATTCTTGGCAAGATTAAGATGAGGATCGTCATCGCGCAACAGTCACGTTGATGCGCAGTGCGGAAGTTCCAAAAACGGCGTTGTAGACTTGCTAGGATTGCCAGGGCGCAACAGCTAAGTTGATTCACGACGCTGAAGTCGCAGAACTGGTGCTTTGGCACGACTGGACATTCTCAATGGGTTGTCTTCCCCTGGGGCGTTCCCGCAATGACACAACGTATTATTGGAGGGCCCCAAAAAAGGGAAATTGTGAGGGTCTACTGCAACATCGTTGATGCGTCTTGGGCTTTCACTGGTCCTCCTCCTCCCCTCCTCCTCCTCCTCCTCCTCCTCTTCCTCCTCCTTCTCCTCCTCCCCCTCCTTCTCCTCCTCCTCCTCCTCCTCCTCCCCCTTCCCCTCGTCCTCCTCCTCCTCATCCTCCTCTTTTCCCTTCCTTTACAATTACTCAATATGAAAATACTCTCCCTCTTCCCCTGATGGCGTCCGGGTGATGGCCACGCACCCTCCGCGTACTGTTTTTCTACACACAGGATCCCCGGGAAATCCCGGGAAACGACTATCGCTGAGGCGCCGGCGTCATTTTTTCCCAAAATGCTGCTCTCGTTGAGGCGCTGGCCTCATTTCTGCTCCCGAATCGTTCCGAATCGTGCTCCCGCTGCAGCGTGGGCCTCATTTTCGGATCGGTGTTTGGCCTCCGTCGTTCAGGATGGCGTTCTCGCCCCAGCGCGGGCCTTTTTCTCGCGCGCCCATCCGCCCGCCACCACCGCGCCGCACCACCACCACCACCACCACCACCACAACCACCACCACCACCACCAGACCACCACCCACCACCACCACCACCACCACCACCACCACCACCACCACACCACCACCACCACCACCACCACCACCACCACCACCACCACCACCACCACGACAACCACGCACACACGCACGCACGCACGCACGTGCACCACCACCCACTACGCACGCGCGCGCGGAGCCGCAGGTCCGCTACGACACGCGTCCGCGGATAGAGAAAATCAGCGCCATGGTAAGGGATGGGTGGGCGGGGTAGGACGTCAGATATGACGCGAGCGCACCTAGCTTGTCATTATCCTCTCCTCCTCCTCCTCCTCCTCCGCCTCCTCGTCGTCCTCCTTTTCATCCTCCTTTTCCTTCTCCTCCTCCTCCTCCTCCTCCTCCTCTTCCTCCTCCTCCTCCTCCTCCTCCCTCTCTCCCTCCCCCTCCTCCTCCTCCTCCTCCTCCTCCTCCTCCTCCCCCTCCTCCTCGTCCTCGCCGACCCCGACGACGACGCGACCTGTGGTCGTCGACCTCCTCCCGTTAGCGCGTGGACTCCCGCGCTTCCCCCATGCGGGCCCGCGGCGACTGGAGGTGCGCAGGCCGCCATCGGGTGGAGTCTGACCACGCGCGCTTTCCATAGAGATAGCCTGCGTGCCAGACCCGTGGCACGCTCGCCCTCCCTCCTCGTCGTCCCCTTCCCCTCTTCTGCTCTGCCTCCCTGTTTGCTCATCCGTCTCCGCTTCCTCCTCCTCTTACTCCTGCTCCTCCGCGTCATCGTCCTCTGCCTCCTCCCTCTCTCCTCCCCCTCCTCCTCCTCCTCCTCCTCCTCCCTCCTCCTCCTCCTCCTCCTCCTCCTCCTCCTCCTCCTCTTGTCCCTCTCTTTTCATTCTCCGCCTCGCCCCCATTCCTCCACTGCCTCCTCCCTGGCATCCACTTAATATATATATATATATATATATATATATATCCTTCCACTAGAGTATCCTCCATCAGCCTTCCCTCCTCCTCCACATCCTCCTCCTTCTCCATCTGGATCGCTCACAGGATCACGATCGAGGCAGGCCAAGCACAGAGAACAGAGGCGCGGCGGTGCTAGATCTCAGGCAAGTTCGAGTCCTACGTTTCCCCGATGCTCCTACGACTTCCCTCACAAATCGCCCCCCCGGGGCCACGCAGAAACGAGCAGGACATCGATCCTCGAGCCTCGATGCTCGTCATCCTTCCTCGAAGATGCGACAACGACTCCCCATAGAGCAGACAACTACACGAGCATATGTGGTCGGAGAAGACCTTGCGCCTTTGGCGCAAAATCTGAGCTTCTCTTGGGGCCATCTTGGGCCCCTCCTGGAGCCGTATTGGGGCCCTTTTGGGGCCCTCTCTGGTGCTTCTCAGTGCCCTCGAGGACCCTCTGGGCCCCCGGAGGACCCCAAGACGGCTCCACGAGGGGCCCAGGATGGCCCCAAGAGGGGCCCAGTAGTTGTGTACCATCCGAGGGCCCGCTGGTACATAACTCCTGGGCTTCTCTTGGGGCCATCTTGGGCCCCTCCTGGAGCCGTATTGGGGCTCTCTGGGGGCCCACTCGGGTGCTTCTCAGGGCCCACGAGGGCCCTCTGGGCCCCCAGAGGGCCCCAGGACGGCTCCACGAGGGGCCCAAGATGGCCCCAAGAGGTACCCAGGAGTCATGTACCAACGGGGGCCCGCTGGTACACAACTCCTGGGCTTCTCTTGGGGCCATCTTGGGCCACTCCTGAAGCCGTCTCGAGGCTCTCTGGCAGCTCGCTCGGAGGCTTCTCGGGGTCCAGAAGGAGGAAGAGGAGTAAGAGGACGAGGGGAGGCAGGAGGAGCTGCAGAAGGAGGAGGAGGAGGAGGCAGAGGATGAGGGAAGGGAGGAGGAGGCGGACGAGGGGGAGGAAGAGGAGGAAGAGAACGATGGCATCAATTTTAAGCACAAGAACTGCCACCATCCAGAGGTCCAGAGGAGGAAGAGGAGGAGGAGGGAGGACCTCCCAGAGTGTGTGGGCGGCCCGCAGTCTGAACAACACTTGTTTCAGATCTGTTGACGCTCTAAACAAACCTCGGAATGCATAGGACAACTTAGGACTAAACTAAAAAAAAACAACAAATCAATGGACGGTTTGGAATGAGTGATATGGATATTGGGATCGATTGTGAGATCGATAATGACATCGATAGTGGGATCGATAGTGGAAACGAGAGTAAGGCCGATCGTGAGACCGATAGTGAAGTCGATTCAATGGAATCGATAAAAGATCGATCGTGAGATCGCTCGTGCGATCTATATATAGTGATATTAATGGTGAGATCGACTGTGCGATCGATAGTGAGATCGATGGAGAAGAAGGTGATGAAATCGATGGTGAGACCGACAGATAAAAACATCGACCAAAAATCCGGGAATCGGGAAATCTGGGAACCCCGCCGCCCACCGAAATCGGCCCCAAACCAACAACAGGGAACCAGGAACCGGGAACCCGTTACCCTGGCGGCCCACCGAAATCGACCGCCTACTTTCGCCAAAGCCTTCAAGATCCGCTTGGACCCCTTCAGTGCAAGCACTGATTGGGGAAACATCAACAACCCTTGCCCCGTTGCGGTCGTTTCGTTTTGAATACTTCGCTCAAACCCTCCGAATCTTTTGCAGAAGCCGTGGTAATCTTTGGGGGGAAGGCTTGATTTGTCGTTCGCGCCACGGTCATCTTCGGGGCCAAAGCGAAATCTTTCCTTGAACCATGCGAGCCTGATTCCTCCCCCAGGCGACAGGGGTGCCACCCGCAGAGGCCCTTAGCAGTCAATTCGGATCACAGCCCGACCCCGCTCTGCGCGTGGCCGACCACAGGGACCCAAGCGGTCCGGAACTAGACAAACGCGTTCACCGACCTGCACCATCTGCACTCGCAAATGGCGTGGATCCGCCGCGGGGGTTTTACGATCCATTACATATAAGAAGACATGTTTGTTCGTCGGACGTTTGCGAGTAGACACTTTGCGAATAGCGGAACGCGTTCGGTGAAAAACCACCTGGAATCCGGAATGCTGAGGGCACTTTGGGCTCGCACTGCCGATGCCTGTTATAGCGGCGCGCAGAGGAGGGCAAGGGGAGGGAACAAGGCTTCTGAGAGGCACCGCTGCTCCTTGAAGGCGCGGGCCCGAGTCTGTAGATGTAGTTAAGGCCTGCGCCTTCTGAGAAATAGCGGTGCCTCTGAGGAGCCTTCCCCCCGTCCCCCTGCCCTCCTCTGTGCGCCGCCAACTCTTGAGCAGGGACCGACCGTCCCGGCATCCCTGTGGGCATACCACGTATTGTTCTTAGAACCCAGAAATGTTCTAAAAACAAAAACAGTGTTCTTGGAATGTGAGCCCGATGTGTTAAAACAAAACAGTCTCAGCCAGAAATGTTCCAAGAGCATTTCGTGCAGAGCACAATCTGTTTTTAGAACATTCTTTGGTGGGCGTA